CTTCCGGTCTTTCTTCTAGTGTACCCCGGCTACAAATAAGAATCTCGATGAAAGTCAGTGTTCCGCATGCCGCATACGAAGATGCTTCCCAAAGCTCTCTTATTGAGATCTTCTTGCTTCAAAACAAAAAGGCAGCTGTAGGTTCATCAGAGGGAGAATCGATGATGGATGATGTTTTTCTTATTTTATATGATAATGATAAGCAATACAATAATCAGTCTGTCTTCGAATGGTATGGTCCTGCCCAATTTGCTCGTCACTCGTCAGCTAGGTTTCGCGGATACCACTTCCCCCGAGCCGCTCCATGAATTCCCTCTTTTCACCTCAACCTCTGATCGGAGGTCGGAAAAAATGACTTATGAAAGCAAATGTCATCCCGGCTGGCTTGCCGATACTGCTTGGAATTGAGCTGGCGAAGAGTCAAATTCGAGTAAAGAAAAAAAAGGATGATTATCTGGTTCGTATAATGAAAGAAAAAGATCATCTCGACTGACTGAGAATCCTAGCATTGAACAAAAAGTCAAGCAGGGATCTGTTGATTAACCACCCAGGCACTAAACAAAGAAAGGAGAAGTTTTCATGCTTTTTGCAAGGCATAGCGGAGAGTGACTCAGTCCGAGGATATTGAATGAAAACAAGAGCAAGGGAGGTCAGCAGCCACAAAGAAGAATGGAACCATTGGTCTAAGGATCTTCACTATTGGGCTTTTCTCTTATGAGATCCGGGGTTGGGGAATTACCCGATCAAAAGTCTTTGGATGTCGCAGATCAGCTGTCCTCCCCCACTTCTATACTCTCTTCTGCCTTCCTGTCCAATCATGAGTCTCAAGTACGTCTGCTTCACTAGGCTCTGACACCGGTACCTGTGCAAGAAGATCCATTTTTCAGGGAACCGTTGATGCAACTCTCTTTGAGTCTGATGCCACAGGAGCTGCTCTTTCATTCCTTCTTTCAGAGTGAGCTGAGAATTCTGACCCAGGTAATGACATATGTGAAGCTGGCCAAGAAGCAGGGTAAACAAGATGAGTAGCTAAGGGAGCTGGTGGGGAGGACGAGATGGCAGCTATGCGTGTCAACCACACATGGACATTGACTGATTTACCTGCGGGCAAGAAAGCTGTTGGTTGTCGGTGGGTCTTTACCATTAAGTACTTTCCTGATGGGACAATTGAGAGGCTGAAAGCTTGTCTAGTGGCCAAAAGCTACACTCAAATCCCAGGTAACGATTATGCTGAGACTTTCTCTCCGGTAGCTAAACTCACCTCGGTTCGAGTTCTCTTATCTCTTGCAGCCAACCGGAACTGGCCCTTGCACTAATTGGATGTGAAGAAAGCCTTCCTCCCTCAAACCTCACTGAAGATGGCGTCGGGGTAGGAAGGGGCAACCTCCCGGCTTTGTTGCTCAGAGAGAGTCACGGAAAGTATGAAGATTACGGAAGGCTATCTATGGTCAAATGCAATCTTCTCGGGCCCAGTTCGAAAAATTGACTACAGCCCTAACTTCACTCGGCTTCTACCGAAGTCAAGTAGACCATTCGGTCTTTGTTAAACATAGTGACCGAGGGATGATCGCATTGGTTGTTTATGTCGATGATATTGTCATTACTGGAGATGATGGACTTGGTATTTTTGCCTTAAAGCCTTTTGTCCATATTGGCCTTCACTCCAAACGATCGGTTCGAGTCTACTGCCGCAATTGGCAATTAATTGGATAAGCGGTGGTCGTTCGTAGGCTTACTCGCCTCTAGCTCTTCTTCTTTGGGATGAAAGCCCCGTCCTTGCCGAACCTGTGTCAAATTCCTCGTCTGAATTGAATAGCTCATCGTCCTCGATTTGGTCACCTCAGTCTTCCTTGACCTCGGGTTAGTCTGATTCCACGCGAACTGCTAATGCGGTTGTGGCTGGTTGAGGTGCCGCTCTTCTTTCTGATGCGGGAGCCCCCTTTTCCGTAAGTGAGAGCACTAGCACCGTCCGACTCCACTGGTACTATTTATCTATATATGGATCGTGTGTGCTTTCTCCCCGATCAAATGACTTCGGTACCTTGCAGAACGACCTCTAAACATCAAAATGAGGACTTCTGTCTGAAAAGCGTCCGATAGGTCAGTGGCCGGTCTAATTTGATGGGCGAAGATTATAGGTTTTCACGCCCTAAGCGCCCGCTTTTTAAAACGAAAAGTAGGATGAATTTCTTCCTTCCCCCTCATGTAGTCGTCGGCCTCATCCGCTGTTGTTTAGCAATTCGAAAAACTGAAGGCTCGAAACGACCGGAAAAAGGAATTGATCCGCTCCTTAGCCTCCGATCGATTTCCTACCTTCGTCGTAAAGAGGTCCCACGCTAAGCGCACTACTCCCAGGCAAGGTCATAAGAACCTTTGGGAATCCCTCCCACGGTAAATCCGCCTCTATGATCCACGAAAAAGACAGGAGTTGAATGCTCTTCTTTATTTAACTGTGCCGCATATGTTTATAAGCTCAGCTTGGCCCCAAAATCTCATTTTTCTATTCAAATCCCTACTCAACACGGTGCCTTAAGGAGAATCCGAAGCTGGTTGCTAGCGGAAGTAGCGCGCCAAAGAGCAAAGCGAAGCATTCAACAAAGAAATGGTATAAGCGGAAGGGAAGGCGCAACGGTTGGCGACTGCCCGAGGAGTGAGACCTCTCTTCTTTTCCCTTTAGAAAGGAGACAATAAGCCCGTCAACATTGAAGCTTCCGCTTTTGGCAGCTGTTAGGCAAGTGATACCATATGCAAGTCCGGACCTATATAGTGAGGGTGCGTTAAGGCGAGTTGATGAGCTAAGACGGCAGGCTGACTTTTCATATGTGGGGGCAACCTGACGTTAAGCACTGGGGCCAGCCACAAAGGAAGAGGCTTGAATGTTGATATATACCGTCTTTCAGCTGACCTTTCCAAACGAAATCAAGCTAGAAAAAGATTAAGCAAGTGCTGCCTTAATGAAATGGCTTATAGTAGAGTAGAACATTCATTCCTTACCGCCGCTGCCTGCTTAAGACTAAAAGAAAGCTAGTAGTGAGACTTCTATTCTGCCGCCCCTCTCTCTTAAAGCTACGGCATCCCACCGATCCTCGCATCGGCTCTGCTAGTTGGCTTTGCTATCAAGGCATAGCATTCTATGGACTCTTCCACCACGTCCAGAAATGGTATGCCAACACGTTTTCTCCTTAGCTAACCAAAGTCTTCTGATGGCAATAACCGCCTTTGCCGTTAAAAAGTCAACCGGTGTTCTCCCTACGCGGGTAAGACCCTACTCGTATTACCATGGTAATACGAGTTTGATATGTAATACGCCCATAGGGACGACGTCACACCAGACGTCCTGCTTTAACTTCCCCTGCTCCAACTTAGCAGCAGGGGCATCTTCTCACCCCTTACTCAACATAGGGGCCACTGCTCATGCCCTTTTTGGTCTGATTCGATAGGGCTCTGGATGAGGCCCTTACTAAAAAGGGCTGAAGCCCCAACTGATCCACCATCTCCGTGGACGCGCTATCTTATCCGAACTCCCAGCATCAATGATCATCTTTGCACTGGCCGATTCCGACATAGATTCGGAATACAGCCTTCCGTCTCCTCCTCCTTTCTGCTGACGTTGGCTCACGTTGCCACACAATCTAACGACAGCGAAACTTTCTCCTCTTCTAAGCTTCAGAACCCCCGCTATGTTTCCGACTTGAACTTACCTTTAGAGCTTCCCGGGCTCTAGGCTCCACAACGTTCACTCTTCCATCTTCAGCTGGTCTATTCTGCACTCCCCCAGCAGCATTCGTCCGTCTGAACATTGGGACAGTAACGAGCAAAATGCCCCACTCCTCCACATTCATAACAGTTACCGGATTTCCTCCGCTGAGCCTTTTCTTATCTCCTTTGCAGCAAGCTCTGCTAGCCTCGCGCTCCAAACTGATAGCGTCTCGACGTTCTCCTTGACGCCGTCCTGGCGCTCTCCCCCTTGACTTTAAGAAGTTTGTAAAAAGGCTCACGTTTTTTGGCTTCCTATAAAGCAAACCCCTTGACGGTTGTGGCAACTTTCTACTCCTCTTGAGCTGTCTTGGCATATCTAAAATGGCTTCGAGCATCCGGCTTCACCACTGCTGCCTGCTCTCTTCTTCTTCGGCACTTCCCAGTCCACAACGGACCTGATCTTCTCTTGATCCATCTGAATCACACCCTTGCTGATCCAATGGCCAAGAAAGAGCACTTTCGTCTGAGCACCGTTTCACGTACAGCTTCTTTTCCTGCTACACCCGGAACACTGTACTCAGGGTTCCCTCCAATGAGTGACTATAAACGATTATGTCATCGAGGTTTTCCACTACAAACTGGTCAAGGTAAGGGTTTGAGTTATCCATTTACGTGCGGAACAAGACCTGAATTAGGATGATATTCATAGATCAGTTACTATTTGTGTACGTTATGGAGTCTCCACTCCATGTTGAAAGCTCTTTCAAATAGCATGAGCGTTGAAAGTCTTCAATAAGACTAGAGCGTTATCTTCTTTTTTTTTTGAAGGGGGTGGAATGAAGAAAAGAAGAGAGGAGGAAAGTGGTTCACTGGAGTTTGTCTCTTGAAAATGGTTTTCTTTCTTTACTTTCTTGAAGGTCTTTTTCTCTATTTTTTTTCATGGTATCAGAGCCAACAAGAGAATTAGGGTGCTGAAACATTAACCCAAAACCCGCTTGCTTAGAGAATCAAACTGTTCCTGTCTGCTTTTTCTGTTTTTCTTTTTTGACCGATAGAAATGGAAACTCTTTTGTTATATGCCCTATACCCAAAAAAGATCTTTGGTAGATCCTAACACGAATTATGTACATAATGAGGATCACAATCATTGATACAGTTTGGGTACCAAGCTATCTTATCAATATATTTACAAAAAAGCCTTCGATGTAGTGATGAAATTTTGATACATAATCAATCCTATTTCTTTTTGTTTATTACTAAAATGAATCGAACCCTATCAAATCTTTATATTTCTCCTTTGAATTACTTATAAATATATATCCTATGAATTTCATTTCGCACCGGAAACTATTCTAGGAGAAGTTCGAATCCGTTCCGTTCGGATATTGATCGGTCTTGGTTTGACATGGTTTACGCGTTACTGGTTCCCGGAAGAGTTAATTTCTCCATTAGCTAAACCCTTTCTTACCCTGCCTTTGGACTCGTATTTTGTTTGTACACAATCAACGGAAGCCTTCCCGACATATGTTGCAACGTCTTCAATAGCATGCTCTTACTTCGTCTTTCCTTTAATAAGTTATCAAATTTGGTGCTTTTTGATCCCCTGTAGCTATGGGGAACAAAGGACTAAATACAATCGATTCCTCCATTTAAGTGGTTCTCGCTTCTCCTTGTTCCTGTTCCTAACTCCTCCCCGGGTCGTTCCCAATGTTTGGCACTTTCCATACTTCGTGGGTGAAACATCAACAAATTCGCTCATGATCAAGTTACAACCTAAGATCTATGACCATATTATGTTAACTGTTCGTATTTCGTTCATTCCATCGGTATGCTCCCAGGTACCTGTAATTGTGATCCGTTTGCCAGAACCAAGGGGTCTTTCTGTGGAAACCTCCACGAACAATCGTCGTTTTTTGATGGTTTTTCCGCTTCTCACAGCTGCTCTTTCCACACCTCCGGATATCTGGTGCCAAATCGTCGCCCGTTTCCTTATTTCTTTGATAATAGAGTTGGCTATTTTTGTGGCATCGATTGTACAAGTTCGTGAAGAGGGCTGGACGAGTGGAATGAGGGAGAGCGGCTCGATCGACAAAAAAGAAGAGTAGCCCCCCTAGAACCTGGCAAAGTCACTATCAATGAATTCCCGAGCAATTCTCAACCAACATATACGATTCATTCCCTAAAGCCTTACCTTAGGAGCGGGATGAGTGATACATCCGGCGAGCGCCGGTGAAGAACGCAAGCAAAGCTGAGCTTCGCGGAGCGGACCAATCTTCCGTACCGCCCCCCTGACTCTCTCTCTAAAAAGAAAAGCCTGCGGGAAGCGCGAAGAGCTAAGCCATTAATGTCGTGGCGAAGGTTGAATGAATGGATCTGAGAAGGAATCAATCTGTGCCAGTTATCTCTTAATAGCATCAACGGGAGCAGCAGTAGCAGTTAACGGTAAGCGATAGGGGGGGTGAGGCTAGAAGTTTTTCTTGGTCTCATGTTCCCATCTGAGGTAGCACCTGAAGTTCTAGGTTCCACCACACAGGCTTCTTTTGTCTGTGTCTTCTCAGGAGTTCTATTCTTCTTTATCAGTCACTTTATCAACGAACTTAGATCGTCGGGCGATGTGACTAAGATAGTTCTAAATATCTGTGGCTTTGGAAGCAAGCTCTTCAAAAGTTATGGGCCATACACCTTGTAGATATACCGCCATGTCCGGTCGAAGGTTGTTCATGTACATGCGAACTGCTTCTGACTCAGTGATGGGTTGAGGACGATGTAAACTTAGATTCCTCCAGCGGTTGATCGGAGAATAGCAAGATATCTTATTGTAATAGTTAGCTAATTCCTTCAAACCCGTCAAAGTCCCATATCTCCTTCTCTGCCTTTGTCCCCTTACCAGCTTTCGAACTCCCTTCCCTGTCAGCCCTCTAGTTGAGACTATCCTAGGCTGAGAGCTGTAATGGATAGGATTTCTGACTTCCACTCCCTATAGGGCAGGAGCGCTTCAAGCCTAGGCTAAGAGAGAATGCGACGGTTCCGCCTGAGTGGATTGAGGCACGGAGGGACGGGATTGGCTTTCCTACTTTACACAGTTTTAGTGGCTAGGAAAAGGCCTGAAAGACGAAGGAAAAGTGAATTAAGAGAAAAATGCATAGCTATCTCCCGCGGACAAGGGATACTAGATCGTAGACTATCTCCCAGAGCCTCATGGTTGTCTTTCGTTGTGCTAGCCCTCATCAGGGAACCTTAGTGTAGACCGTTCGATCGAGAGCTCCGACACCGCGGAAGGTTAATCAACTCTTTTTCCAGCTTCAAAAACGGAAATTCAAACATCGAGGAGCAGACCCTGGGCCAATTACTGGCATTGACGAGAACGGCTTGACTTTGAGAGTTGGAGGTACCTAATACTAGTCGACCAGAGAGAAGCCGACTTATCCGACAAGGCTAAAAAAGAATGGTTTATTGACCAGTTTCCACGGACTTTCGATAACCGGCTTGTGGAGGTGCCCATTATGCCGTTCGTTATGCCTCTTGTGATTGAGGTGTCCGGTGGACGTTCCCTTAGTTCCGCTCGCCATCAGGCTACTCATGCTTGTGTTTGCACTAGAGGTGTTGAGCCATCGACAACTCGAACTAAACCAATACCAATGACACAGTAATCACGATCAACCACTTTACCTACAACACAGCTCTCATGGTAACGCCATATGGTGCTAACGGTTCGGCGACACAAATCAGCCATCTGCGCATAGTCAGACTGGTCAACAGGCAATGCAGGCCCGACAAACCTGAAATTTCGAGCTCCAAACCATTCACAGAACATGAAGTCCTGCATAGACCGGCTCTAAGGGCTGCCCCTGACTCTATTTCCTTAATTGAAATGGCGGGGCAGGAGAGAGAACCAAAGAACAACCAGATAGATCATAGGTGATCACAGAAACTTCTACCTAACTGATTAGGCGCCTCCTTACTTCTTAGGACCTTCATACCTTGAAAATGAAAGGAAGTAGGCGGGGAAGAGTAGGTCAAAATGACCTGGGATAACTGAGTGTCGTTGCCGGGAGTCGACAAGACTTGGAAGCCAGCTTGCCTTAGATGCTTAGAGCTGCGGGCGGAAAACCGCGAGGGATGACGAAAGCATCAATGGGGCGCTAAGTTCCCTCTTTAGGGAAGGAGACAAGAAGGCTGTGATTGAGGAAGAAAGGCCGTGAATGCTGGACTGCTTAAACCTCAGATTAGAAGAGGGGGGTTGTGGTCCCTCTAATCCGTGCCATGTGAAGCAGTCGATTTGACTCGATCTTCGGAGAATTGTCCCATTAATATATATTAGAACGGGGAAAGAAGTCCGACGTTCATGTGTTAAAGAAGCAACCCCCACAACCATGGAGAATCTCTATGGGAGCAAGCCTAAGAAGAAGTTTCCCTCTCTTAATCCTTTCAGCCTCTGTAACAGTTGGCCTCTTCTCATGATTTGGGTGCTAGCAAGAAAGTCCCACCATAAGCATCCTCTGCATCTCCACTGCATTAAACGTCCCTTTCAACTTTGGATCAACTGCCTCAATCAGTTTCCATTTCTCCCAGTAGCTCCATACCCAATCAACAAGCACCGTACCAGCATCATCGACAGGCCTTTTCCCTGTAGCTACCTCTAGCACCACTACACCGAAGCTGTAAACATCCGTTTTCTGTGATGGAACACCAGAATAAACATATTCAGGAGCAAGATATCCCATTGTCCCAGCTGGTATTGTAGCTTCCCTGGTCATAGAACTATGTTCATAGACTTCTGCCAAACCAAAATATCCTAGCTTGGTATTGAATTCTGCATTAAGCATTATATTTCAAGTCTTCACGTCCCTATGAATTATCTGTCTCTCACATTCTTCATGCAGATATGAAAGAGCAGACGCAACTCCGAGAACTATATTCAACCTTTGCTTCCAGGAGAGGAAAACTGCAGAACTGGTGTTCTTGTGAAGAACTTTGTCCAGGCTACCATTGGGTAAGTACTTATAGTTATAGACCAGGACTCATTCTGATCCTTCACAGCACCATCCTTGAAGCTGAACCAAATTCTTGTGCCTTAAGCAGCCAACCATTGTTGCAAACTCAGTGAGAAAAGGATTGCGAGTACAGTCAATCCCTGCGCGATCAAACTTCTTGATAGCCACCGATCCACCTGAGGTCAGAGACCCTTTCTCCTTTATAGACCGTAGCTGAAGCCCCTTTACCGACAATTCTGTTTCGATTAAACCCCATTGTAGCTGACTTTCTCTCCGAAATTGACAACCTTGATGGCACTCTATTCAATCTACAGGTTCTGCCTTCTTTACTTCTGCTAATACTCCTCTTTCTCCACACCACCAAGAAAACGATTATGACAAGAACTCCAATTATAGAGAGGACAAATGCGGCTAAACCACCCAACCCCAAGGCTATGTCTCCAATCTTTGCTCTTCTTTCATGAAGATTACTAGGCTTGTCATTCTTTCTTGAAAAATTTGGATAGCACAAAAAACAATCCCCTTCTTCAATTGTATCCATAGGGGTAACAGTAGGGAGAGACCTAAAAGTGAGAAATCTCCAATGATGAACAATGTGAGCTGCTGATCCTTGCCCGTTAGAAGCAGAGAAACCAACATGCATATACTCCTTGAAATGCTGAAAAAGGTCAACCCGAGCCACAAGAATAGGACTTGAAGGCCTAATCTGAGAGTCACTAGCCCAAACCTGAGTCAACTTTGCTGCATCTGTGTACTCAATCCAAGCTGTAATCTGTCTCCCATTTTATAAGATCAATCCCTATTGACTCAGCATCAACTGAAGCAAAAGATATGACTGTGTTAACATCAACACCAATGTGATTACCATTGTTATCAGCAAGTGAAGGATCGGAACTTGTATCTCATTCAACAGCAATGAATGAATCTTGAGGGTTTAAGGCTGGTCCAGGAAGGCCCATTACCAATGATATTAAGCATTGGATGTGATCAAGAATGCTATACCTTCACCAAAGGGACACAATGGGGATGAGATGATGGAGAAGGAGAAAGGGCATGAGAAAGATGCGGTGGAGTTCGTCTCGGAATCAAGAAACCGAATAGGGTAAACATCAAAAGCTCTGTCCACGCCTGAAGCAGAGGAAGAAGAAGAGAGGCAGCTTCCTTCTTGAGTGAGACTAATGGCTTTGTTTCTGAAGTAAGCATCACCAAAGAGGCACCATAAGTCTATGCGAGCCTGGCTGACATTAAGAAATCTGAGACTCTCCTCGCAAGGGCATGAAATCAAACACCCAGTCAGGGATAGAATCGAGGATAACATTCAACTTGTTAACAGTTGTGTGGGAGTACTCCTAAGTTTTGTTACGGTATATCTTCTTTTTTTGAGTGAAATTCAGCCAGGAGTAGCAGAAAGGATAGAAGGATCTAGGCAAGTAAAGAACTTGCTTTGCTAATATAACTCTGCATAGGATCACTCGCCTTAAGGCTCTCTCAGAGAAATTCCAAAAACAGATTATGGAATGAAATTGATGAGAACTTTCTTATCATAAAAGCAAATCTCAGTAGCTCCAGAGATGGATCGCCTACGAAACGAAAGGGACTATCGCTCTGAAACCCTGCCTGGCAATTCCCTTAGACCCAAAGTCACCACAATACGCTGCTATGCCCGCCCCTACCAGCTCCAAGACTGACTTCGGATTCGGATACTTGGATCGAATATAGGAAAGCGGGGACCACAGCCCGAGTTCAATCAGTACCGTCGCTGTCAGAAAGGAAAGACTGTCCGACTGTATGAAAGAAGCAATCAAGAGGCAACAGCCGCTGACGCGTTAGCGGGAGAATATGATACAGAGACTTTCATTGCCCTGAACTCCTCACATAAAGCAACAAAGGAAGTTTCAAGTGTAGCGAGAACATTCTCTTTATCTATAAAGATAAGAGGGAATTCCCGCAGACCTCTCTTTCCTTTATGAACAAATATCCTCGTCCATGGCTCATTGGTCCTATCAAAAAAACAAAGATAGATAAGATCCTAGTATTAGAATCCCATAAAAAAGAAGAAAAAGAGAAGTCTATAGAGTTATGAAAATGTTAATATGCTGCTTTCTTTTGCC